GCAAAAACCTTTCCAAAAAAAAAAAAAAAAAAAAAAAAGAAGAAGAAGAAAAGAAAAGAAAAAGAAAGCTTAGAGACTGGGGACCAGCAGGTGGCATGATGGTTAAGATGTTGACACTCCCACATAGTAGACAATGGTTCAAATCCCTGACCTGGTGGCTTGCTTTCTCATTTTCTCTCCTCTGTCTCTCTTTGGTCAAATTAAACAAAACAAATGAATGAGTAAATAAAATTTTTTTTTTTTTAAAAAAAAGAAGGCTTAGAGACTTAGAAAGCTAAGAGATTTAGGAATCAGCAGGTGGCATGGTGGTTAAGGGTGCTGGACTCCCACATGGTTGATCATGGTTTGAATCCCAGACCTGGTAGCTTGATTTCTCACTTTCTCTCACTTTCCCTCTCTCCCTGTCCCTCTCTGGTCAAATTAAAATAAAATAAATGAATAAATAAATAAAGTTAAATTTAAAAAGTCTTAAAAAAAAATGCTAAGAGATTTAGAAAGTGGGGCCAGCAGGTGGCGTGGTGGTTAAAGACTCTGGACTCCCATGGCTGACCACGGTTCGAGTCCCAGACCTGCTGGGCGCATGTGTGTGCATGCCCAAAATCCCAAGAAGAGAGTGGAGAAGGGATTGCGGTATACCCAACCCCTGGTGGGTGATTTCTCACTTTCTCTCTCACTGTTTCTCTCTGATTCTCTCTGGTGAGTACACATGGCCCATGGCAAAAACCTAAAACAACAAAAACTCTTCTTCATAAAAGATTCTAATTTTGGTGTACCCTGGAGGCTCTCTGCAAGGCAGATTAGAGTCCAAAAATTAGAGGCCCTTGCCGACTTGATCCAAGGCCTGTGTTCTGGTCAGAGTATTTTTTTTTAAGAATCATTTAAATTAAATTTTATTTTTTATTATTTAATTTATTAATTAATTTATTTATTTATGGAGAGATTTTTGCTGTGGACAACATGGGAGTCCAGCAACATAGCCATTATGCCAACTGCTGGTCCCTGTTATTATTCTTTTAATTCAACCAGAGAGAGACAGAGAGGAAAAGAAAGGGAAAGTGAAAAGCAAGCTCCCAGGTCCAAGACTCAAACAGCAGTCAGTCATGAAGGAGTCCAGCACCTGCCAGCCCCCCGGTTGGGGTATTGAACCAGGAGGCCATGGAGGGGACAGTGAGGCTAGATCGATCTGGCTGGGGCTGGTGGGAGCTGTGAAGTTGCCAGAGCTAAGCAAGCACGGTCCTCCAGGCCAGAAGCCCACCTCACAGTGCCCGACTTCTGACTTCTAAGTCCCTGAAACCCTCAGAGGTCAAGAGGAGCTCAGGGTTGTCAGCTCTACTCCAGGATCTGAACTGAACCCCCCCAACTGACAGTCTGGGACCCCTAAGTCATCCCCAGGTGTCAAGCCCAGCTCAAAGTGAACTCTTGACGGTCGGGTGGTCCAACCGTCTCCAAGCCCTCTTGGACTTGCAGGAGAGGAGCTGGGAGGCCAGGTTCGCATCACAGCATCGCTAATGTTCCCAAGGTCTCCTCTTATCCCGCATCCCATCGTCACAAAGCCTAGCTCAGGCTGTGCTGTGGCTTGTGTTCCCTCAAAATGTACATGTCAGGGTGTGCACGTGCTGTCAAGGAGCTGAAAGTTAACGGGCCGGCTCTGCAGTGCAGCAGCGAAGCACTCACAGAGAAGTCATGGGGGCTGGCAGGTGGCGTGGTGGTTAAGGCACTGGACTCCTACAGGGCTGGCCACAGATTGAGTCCTGGACCTGGCAGCTTGCGTTCTCACTTTCCCTCTCTCTCCCCATCTGTCTCTGGTCCAATTGAAAAAGTAATAATAAATAAATTAAATTAATAATAATGTTTTAAAAAGATTAAATTAATGGGAACCAGCAGTTAGTGTAATGGCTATGTCGCTGGACTCCCACGTAGTCGACCGCGGTTCGCATCCTGGACCTGGTGGCTTAAAGCTCACGCCGGGCGCATGTGCGTGCGTGCCCCAGATCCTGAGAGGAGAATGGAGGAGAAGGGATTGCAGTGTGGCCATCCCCCCCTGGGGGGGGTGATAAGAAAAACAAACAAATAAACAAAACCTCTCCCCCCCTGCAGAAAAGTTAATCTTTTAGAAAAAGAGAGAGAAATAGGCAGCCCACCAGGGCCATCACTCTGCAGCCTGCCCCAGCCCAGCCAGCCAGGATCAGGGACAAGTGGTGTCTAGAGTACTGAGGGGGCTTCACGTGCAGGTCGCCGTGCTACCACCGGCTGGCCCTCTTACTGGGCTGCTTTTTTTTTTTTTTGGAGAGGTTTTTGCTATAGGGCGCGTGTGCTCCCCAGAAAGACAGAGACAGAGAGACAGAAAGCGAGAAATCACCCCCCTGGGGGGATGGCCACGCCGCAATCCCTTCTCCTCTGTTCTCCTCCCTGGATCTTGGGCACGCACGCACTAGCCGGCATGAGTTTAAGCCACCAGGTCAACTACATGGGAGTCCAACGAAGCAGCCATTATGCCAACTGCTGGTCCCTAAAGCTGGAATTTCTATCGGTTTGAACATGAATAGTTTAGAGTTTATATATACATTTCCACCTTCCAAGGTTTAAAATGGGAGCCACACTAGTCACCCGCACGGACTAATGCACATTTTGCAACTGAGCGTGGCACTCTGGGCACCACCTGCAGGCTTCTAGCCGGGCCTCGCCCCTCTAAACCCTGCCTCCCAGGCCTCCCATCTGATCCCCACACCCAGCCTGCAGCCCCTCCAGGCAGGCAGAACCCCCTCGCCCATGCCAGGTAAGCTCAGCCCCCTTTCACCATTGCAGATTTGCACACTCACACATCCAGAAAGAGACCAGAGTTTATGACAGAAACGTGGGGCCACACTTCGCAAACCGGTGTTTATTCTCAGGAGGCCTCCGGATAGCAGCATTGACTCAGGATGGGGTCTGGCAGTGAAGGAGGGACGGGGTGGGCGCCATGAGCAGCCAGGGCAGGGCCTGAAAGCAGGGACAGCAGCCTGGGGTCTCCGAGAACCCCTGCGATTATGGCCCGCAATCCCGGACATGAAGGCCAGCCCCGGAGATAGGAACAGGAAAATCTGGTTATTCCCAGCGCTGCCCGCATTTCAGTGTATACTTAGGGTTGGTTCCTGGAAACTGACGACGGGAGGGAGGGACAGGGAGAGGCGCTGGTGGTGCGGCCGGCCCAGAGGGGCGGCGGGCAGGTTAAGGGGAATGCGTCTGCGAGGATGCAGACTGGGGTCGGCAGGTCGGCGGGCCGGCCGGTGGGTGGAGGAGGTGGATCCTGTCTGCCCGGACCAACCTCCTCCCCGGCGCCCTGAAATAGGCCTGTCCTGGAGGGGTCAGACCAAGAACTGCAGGCGGAGTCCCCGTTTCCCAAACCCCTGAGCTCAGCTGTTCCCAGCGCTCTCCCTGGGAGTGTGTGTGTGTGTGTGTGTGTGTGTGTGTGTGTGTGTGTGTGAGCATGCACATTTGCACGCGCGTGTGCTGCAGAGTGGGAGGCGCGCTCCTCATCCCCTTCTCTCACCTGGTTTTGGCTGCGCGAGTTGGGCAGTGGGTGACCGGGCCGATCAGCAGGCAGCTCAGCGCTCCCTGCGGTAGTTCGTCTCTCCATTCAGGACCAAACCCCCCCCCCAGCCCCTGGCTGCAGAGTCCCGCCCAGGATCCACTGGCTTCCGTAGCTGGGTGGCTGCGCCACAGGTACCCTCAGTCCCTCCTCCCTCTGGCGGGAGGCAAACCAGGAAGGCTACCTGGAGGAGGAGGTAGACATCACCCAGGCAGAGCTCCTTCTGACCCGGATCCTACTCAGAATCTTATTGGTCTTAGCAAACAGGTCCGTCTGCTCCTCGCCTTGGACCTCACTCAGCTTCTACGCAATGGGCGAGGTCCCTGCTCAGGAGGCCCATAGGACCGTGGGGAACCCACAGCCGAGGGTGGGGGCAACTTGCCCAAGATCATGGAGCTGGGGGCGCGGGTGGAAAGCTGGGGCACTGAGCAGCTGCCCTAGGAAAACACCTGGCAAACAGTAATGGTTCGGTTTCTCCGGTTCCAAGAGACACTTGTGGGGAAACCACCGTGTCGCATTCACCAGTGGGACCGCGGTTGACCGAGGCTTATCTGAGGCTGCCGGAACCAGCCAGGACTGGGCGGAAAGTCACTGGAGCCCAACAGGGATCGCCAGCCAAGGAGAGCAACGGGCATCCAGGCCCGGCCGCAGAGCGAAGCTGCTGGAGGCTCGCTACCAGCTCCGACTCTCCCTTAGAGGAAAAACAGAACCCCAGTGAAATCACCGCAGCCCAGTTTCCAGGGAACCCTAAGATAAAGTTGTGGGTTAAGTGCCGCCGGGCTGCCGGACATGGGACAGTCCAGGCCCAGCACCCCGTTTCCCGCAGCTCCGGGGAAGGAAACAGGGTCCCACGGAGGCACCGAGGCACCACGCGAAAGCGTGGCTGGCCTGCACCAGAGGGGAAGGTTCTGGTTCTGTGCGGGAGTAAGCTGGGTGAGCAGGTTCCTATGAGCCAAGGCCCCTAGGCAGGGCTGGAGGGGTCTGAGGGGTGGGCAGTGGGAGCAGGGGTGCAGCTAGCACCCAGACTGTTAGGAATCCTATCGGACTGGCTGTCACTCTTGCTAATTGAAAAAAAATAATGACCTTAAAAATAAAAAAGAGGGGCCAGCAGTTAGTGTAATGGCTATGTCGCTGGACTCCCATGTACTCGACTATGGTTTGAGTCCCGGACCAGGTGGCTTAAACTCACGCGGGGCGTGTGTGCGTGAGTGCCCAAGATCCCGAGAGGAGAATGGAGGAGAAGGGATTGTGGTGTGGCCATCCCCCCTGGGGGGTGATTTCTCACTTTCTGTCTCTCTGTCTCTGTCTCTCTGGTGAGTGTACACGCCCTATAGCAAAAAC